CTATCCCTCTTGTGAAAACCAGCGTTCCCTGGAGGAGAGTAAAAAAAGAACCTATATAATCGCCTGAAAAGTTTTCTAAAGAAAGTTAATGAAAACAAATGACTAGAGGAGACAATGAACAATGTGAACTAACATTAAGACAAGCTGTAAAAGCAAAATGCCTTGCTCTGAGATATTTCAAATCACTTCAGCAAGACAGCAACCCATGTTTCTAGTGAAAGTGGTAATAACTATAAATCAACACTTATTTATATCATTGCCTGCTTGAATATCAGTTTAGTTCTGACAGATGCCCACTGATAAACACATAAGCCCCTCTGAATTCACCAAAGCTACATGGTTCATTATTTCATACTTTATTGCCGTAACATTAGTTCTTTTGATTCTAATGCAAAAAAACGAAGCAAAAAGAACTTATAGAACATAGTTATAGCAAAACCATATTAACGCCTAAGTATACCCTTAAAGGCCTCAATGTTCATCGGCGTCTGGCTTTGGGAGAGTTTCTTTAATTCACAGAATTTTACCATGGATGCCTATGAGTGAGTTGTGCTTTATTTGTGCATGTGCAGTCCGCTGAGACCTCAATAGAAATGTCAAAGGTCTTTCAGTGTGCGATGGAAGCTAACAGCCGAGGCTTAGCAATAAAGTAACCGAGTTCGCTTGAAATGCCAAAACATTGCAGAAGGAAGTGGATGACATTTGTATTGGTTTTTAGAAAGCTTTTTGGTGAGTGGTTCTTTGTTTTAGCTTCAGTTATCACATAATAAATGTTTGTGTGTGTGTGTGTGTGTGTGTGTGTGTGTGTGTGTGTGTGTGTGTGTGTGTGTGTGGGCTTGCCTGTTCTCTGTTCATTTTGCATTTTTGTTGCACGCATTCAAGCTTCTTTCTTTGCTTTGTCGCTGTGTGGCACCATTCAGGTTGAATTTGGAAGAGCAAGAAGCCTTGAAATTTAATGACTGTAGCTAACGAAATCAACCAATTTAGCTTTAGCTTAACTTGAAAATGAACCCATAGTAATTGATTAATTTTAAATAGTTGAAAGTAAATACCAGGAAATGATATCTTACAATGTTTTTTTTACTACATCGATTCTATACAGTATATTATAAGTAGTAAAAATGATCAGGTCTGTTGGGTATTTGGCAGTAAATAAATTCATGACTGTAATCAAACATCATTGCTCGTTTGTATTAGCATCAACTTATGCCATTGCAGGTTTGGTTAAAACTTTGTATTTTTGAGTAGATGCACACAATACAATGTTGGTCTAAATGAGCCAATGAAAGCAAAGGTTGTGGAGGAGAACGTTGTGTTATGTTGGCATTTGGAGAGAGTCACAGAACTATGGAGTGAAATGTGAATTTTGTCAAAAGCAAAAAGATCAACTGACCAAATAGCAATAAATGAGCAACAGAGCAAAGAAAATAAATAAGAATACAGGTGCAAGATAGATAACAGAAAAAAGAATTTTGCAATTGTAATGGCAGCATTTTGAAGCCTCCGTGTTCAAAGTAAGGACCGGTCCACAGTGGGTCATTCACTTAACATGCGCAGACACGCACGCGTGCACACACAAAAATGCGCATTTATTTCATACCGTTGAGAGAAAATGAGGCCTTATCTGGAGCTGTGGAGATTAGCAGAGGCAGTGGGCCGGTCTCGCTGCCATTTTAGGTCCTGACTCACTTGTGTTCGTCCACACACTCAGAAAAAAACACACACATGCAAATAAACTCACATGCAACGCTGCTTTCACATTTCCCTATTATATGAAAGTCAATACAATATGAATCTAGAGGGATAATGTTGGTATTCAGATAATGTAGCATAGCATAATTATATAATATTACGGATAATGCCATGGTCCTCTTACTTATTTAGAAATGGAGCTATAATGTTAGAGGACAAATTATGTTAGGGTATGAAAGGATTCGTAGCTTTTCATAATATATATGGTGTCTGAGAAGTTGCAGTAATGTCCACTGGTCCTTCAACCTACAATAGGCTGTAATGGACAGAACTATAAAGTAATATTTTCTTGAATGAGGAAGATAATTTAAGCAAATATATATATATATATATATATAAATTATATATATATATATATATATATATATATATATATATATATATATATATATATATATATATATATATATGAGTTAATATTGTTCAATACTTTAATTTACTGTTTGTGACCATATTTGAGTTCAGAAGGATTGATGTGCTTGTCTGCAACGTTTGAATTGTTAAACCAAGCAGTCGCTATCTATTTCTGTAACGTAGATGTTTACAATGAGCGATTTTAATAACACTCAACTCGCTCACCTCCAGAAACTGAGCCTTTAAAAAAATGTGGTCATCATTTAATCACACCATTCAAAATCCACTATGTATTGTAATCAATCCATAGTGAAAGTGGGAGAGTAAAATGACATTTTCCTTTAATATAGAATGTGTGTACACTGTCCGTTTGTGTCTGTCTTTGAATGACTGAGTGTGCTATGCAGCTGCAGACAAAGCCAGCGTGCCGCTGATTGATCCCCTGTGTGATGACTGGAAGGCTTGACTACTTGGATTGATGATTGATGTTTCCCCTCATCTTTTTGAGTTTAAACACCGTGGGAAATGCAGCACGGACTATTTTCATTAAAGGCTGTTGCAGAATGTTTATTACGGAATCTCTTTTGTTATTTCTCAAATGCTCTTTTCACATTCAAAAAATGAACATTTGGCTAAAGGCTCTCAATGAAAACTCAAACTGATGCCTTTAATAGGAGCTCTTGTTCTATTCGCATAGTGCAAAGGAATCAATATTAAGTGCTTTGCTTAAGGGTAAAATTGCAGAAGATGGCCGATATTGTCAACACTGATACAAACCCACACCGTTTTGATTTTCTAATGCCATTATCTCTAAATGGTCTTTGTGTGCACTGCCACAGACTTCATTGGTAAGGCTTTGGGCTCCGTGCTCTACAGCTGAGCATCCTGTTAAAAGTGCTACAAGAGGCTTTGGTTGGCTGCGGTTCACTTCCTTATTGTACATTTCACTAGTTACTTTTTACACAAGCCTTAAGCCACAAATAACCCACACCAAAAGACAATGATTTCTGGGAGTAAACAGCCAGACAGGACAGCACACATTAATCTGCAACCGCCATTACAATTTGCACTTGCTTTATTAATAATGCTTTATTTATCCAGTTTTCCCTTTTCACTAAAAGCACTTTTTCCAAGTCTCACTACTTCTCTGTCTCTGTCATCAAACTGGACTGAGATGTGACAGATACTTGCCCCAGACCTTTTCTTTTTCTTTGGTCCATGTCAGCGGTAATGTAAAACATAACTTCATGCGCTATATATTGTGTGTGGCTGTATCCCGGTGAGCTTATGTCACAGTGTAGTGCGATATGCACGATTCAGTGTGATCACAAGCAGGTCTCTGGACAGCAGTTTGCAAATGTGTACAAAGTTTACCTGTGCATTCATTGTCTGTCTCCGTCATCTCCTGTCTTTGTTTGTGTGTCCTGTTTTGTTTGTATTCACTTTCTTCCTTTTTCATTTTGCACCCACACACATATGTACACTACAGTTACAAGAAGGGTTCACACACACAATCCTGCACTGTTTTAACGATGGATTTGTAGTGAGCAGAATACAATAGTAGTTTAGTTCCGTATCATAGAACTAAGCTAAGGTGGCTCATCTTCAGAGAAACTACGTATTACAAATGTTTCTGTTCTGCTGCACGTTATAAAGTAGAGAACAAAAACAAAAATATCCGGTTTAGGTTTTGAATGTGTGGGAGAAGAGCCAGATTCCCATTCTAGCTCCACATCTCCCCTCCCAGGTTGAAGGGAGGACGACATGTAACACGATCCACCCGGAGTCTGTGCATGTTACACAATTACACACATACAAGAAAGGTACCAGCTAATTTCAAAAAAAAATTTGATTACGGATACATTCCCTCAACACCCTCACAGGTGTTTCACGGAAGCCTCCTCTGCTCACATTGAAGGTGGTTGTGTCTCAGGCCTCGGAAGAGGTCTGACCTGGTGGGTGGACAGGGTCTTCTGAGGAATGTTCTTGGTGAGCCTCGTTGCCCCACGAGACAGCTTGAGACATTCACAGTCAAACATACAGATATCAGCCACTGCGTACTCCATCCTCGCCTCCCAAATTCTCAAATGAAGAACAAGCGGGCACTTAGGTAGGGTCGAGCTTGCAACTGCTATTGCAGAGTTCTGCTATAATTGTCATAGTCTGAGTGAGGGAATAAATCCCTCTGACAGAATAACACATTCAACAGTAACTTCAGGCTTTAGAGAAACATATTAGCACATATTTCCCTCTGCTTCTCTGGTGCGTTTGTGTTTTCTCTCAGCACAAATGAAGCCATGCAATGTTCTGTGTATCACAGTACACGTGTGTGGTGGTGCGTGTGTGTATTTGGATATCAGACAGCTAAATCAACTCTCACCACTACATCTGCAGGGAAAGCAGCTTGATCTACAAACAATAACTTATTAAAAGCAGATAATAGGAAGAGGATTTAATGTGGTCTGGTATAAAAGACTGGAAGCTTGTTTGATAGTCATAGAAGTTTAGTTCATATTCATTAGGGCCCTTTGAATAAAATTGCCTTCATTTTCCAAAGGCACAGGGCATAGTGTACCTGGGGGGACACCTTGTTCAGGTAAATCATTTTCAAAAATGGGCCATTCTAGAAAAGTACAACGTTGAAGTATAAGGGATCAAGTAGATAGTTGTGTTTACAGTTACTAGGCAACTGTGCCTCGTAACTGTGTGTTCTCATTTCGGTTCTGATTTAGTTAAATACGTATTATCTGAAGTCAAATGTTTTGTCCCCTCGATGGGCATTTGCCTCTTTTCTTCTCTACCATTATTTTTGCTTGGTAATCTCAATCCATCCACCGTCCAAGAAGTCTGGGAATCTAACATGTAGCATGTTTGTTTGCGTGTTCACATTGCAGCTGGCAACGTGGGACCCAGTTCATGGCTTGAACGGCACACTGACGGACAGGAAATTGGAAAACAACATGAGAGGAGTGGTGCTTCGAGTCGTGACTGTCCTGGTAAGTACCCAACGAACTGTTTTCGTTTGTGCGCGTTGTGTTTGCTATTTAAAAATCTGTCCAGCCGCTCACTCCGAAAGATTGAAGACGGACTGTTGAGGCAACCGCTGGCACGTCACATTTCAGCCTTTTGCTCGATTGTCTCTCCGTCCTTTTGTCTGGTGTTTGTCCCATCCTTCAACTTTGTCTCCGCGGAGACATAGAGAAAGACAGGCTGTGTTCGGGAAGGAAAATGGCTGACACGCATTTATGAGACAAAGTGTCGAGAGGAAAGCGGGCAGACAGACTAGGCTGAATACAAATAAGCTGTAAGAAGATGAGCGTAGTAATGGCCTGACCCATCATCAATTCCTTAGCTTCCATTTTGACATTTGACAGCGAGATGATAGAGAACATCGGAGACTTTATAAAAGACTGCAGCTCCTTTTTCTCTTGACTGCAGCATCGATTCGAGTGCATCCCATGAGTGCTTTAAAGATTCACGTCTGTAAATTTTTCATATCCCTTCTTTGAAGTGAGAAGCAGGGAGGAAAGAGATAATGCTAGACATCCTTCTTTTTTTCTAAAGTGTTTTTGTTTCCCCAGGTCTTTTATTTGCATCATCTTTAAAAGGAAAAAGACAATGGATTGTGTATTTTGATGTTTCCCTCTCTCTCCTCGCCTGGGTTGCTCCTTCAGGTGTACATTATGTGAACATTTGTTACTGAATGTGCACACACGGTACATTGTCCTCTCTCCCCTTCATATTCTGCTCCTACTGGATTTTATAATCGGGTGTTACCTAAGAAGACTGATGCCTCATAAGCGCCTAAAGACAAAAATAGATAGAAATAGTGTGAAATGTCCAAGGTGCTACCTGGATGCACTGTGATCTCTTTTTTTGTTGCCTGAGAATGGTTAGAGGGAATATCCTGATGTGTGTGTGTGTGTGTGTGTGTGTGTGTGTAGGTGTGTGTGCACGATGGTAAAGGATTCTAAAAGGACCTTTGGAAAAGCTTGTGTCTGTGTTGCCGCCGGCCTTTCGCTGCTCTGATATGACTCTGTTTTCTGTCTGAAACGTGCGGTTGTAACAGGCAGAAACAAACAAGCATGTGTGCACCCACATGTACACAAAAAAACAAGTATCTGGTATTTCTATTCTATCTCCCACGCTGTGGAAGGATATCAATTAGTTCATTGGTTATTGGATAATACCACCGTCGGGGCTAACTACTTTCAATCAATGCTATTGGTGGGCTGGGAATGTAATGGTTATTAAATGGACGTTAGTGAGGAATTACTATATCGCTGCAAACGTTTGTCATCGGTTCTCTGCTGTGCTTAGCGATGTATCCATTTTGTTCACACCGGTGTGAACAAAATGGATATTTTTAAACCCGGAATGGGATTTGGAGCTTTGAAACGGTTACATTAAAATGATGTAAAATAGACATAAAGTGGATCTTTCTCTTGACGTACCTCTCTGAAGGTGCAAAATCAGACGGCCGTTAAATTAACACTCACTGAATGTGCATATGTTCGTCATTCTGTTTTATACACCTCAGCAGTCGAGTTTTCATATTTCATCTTCTTTTTTGTAATACTCTCAACTCTTAACTCTTTAACTTTTAGAGTTTGCTTTTTTCAAACTAACCATATGTCTTACTTTGAGGCACAACTATTATCATGATGAGAATTATTGAGATTATATAAAATTGGTTTAGACACTATGTTTGATTAAATTGTAGTAGCGTGAATATAACATCATCAATACAGATCGACCATAGATAGATGAAAGAAAACAAGGGAGAGGAAAATGAAGAGCCCCGCCGCAGACATTGTGCACGATCACTGACTTCACCTCCATGCCAAAGGTAGACACTCACATCTACCTGTAGCTGTTTGTACCATATGGCTGCACCATGTCCCATGTCGAAGTGTCCCTGAGCGAGACACCTAACCCCAAAGTGCTCCCCGGGCGCCTTTACTGGCAGCACACCGCTCCCACTGTGTGAGACGGGTGAAATGCATGGAATTTCCACAAGAGGATCAATAAATGACGCTTTACTTCTTTCTTCTTATTGATATTATTGTATGCTTTGACCAGTTGAACTGTTGGAAGGGAATGAAGTAAATGATAAAAATGTGTATTATCTCAAATCCCAAAGTACTGCCCTGATTGTCTGTTTTTTTATCAAACAGCAACTGAGGGATAATTGTCTTATGTCCCAATGTAGAATCTAATCATCGGTAGCAACCGGCATGGCTTTTAAATTGTTTTTCCACAATTTTACGGGAAACGGCAAATGGAGCAGTATTTGAAGACAAAGAAGAGGTTCCCTGGATATGGAGGGATGTGAGGTTGAACTGCAAGAAAGACCGTTGGGAAGTATTGAAGCCTTGATGAGTGGAGGGAGAAGAGGCCTGCAGACATACGTTTATGGGAAGTTTGCGACGTCCGGGTGCAGAAAGATAGCAAGTGGTGTGTTTCACAGCTGCCGAGTGGCAGGGGAAAGCAAGTGAGTGCAAAACAACAACAACAGAAAGAGGGAGAAGAGACGGATTAGCGCCACAAAACTAGAACACATCCGAGGAGGGTTTTTTCTTTTTCAGTCGGAAAACCATTGACTGAGTATCGACCTGGCAGCTCAGAGCGAGACCAACCAGTAAGCAATAGGAGAAAAAGAGTCTCCTCAAAGTCAAAACTATATATATACACTATATGACGTTTTTGTGCACGGCCTGATTCATTTAATTCAGATCCATTAAAACGATATATGTGAAACAAAAGCCAACATGTTTTCAAAGATTAAAGACAAAAACAAAGACCGGTGACAGTCCAAATGCAGGACGGGTGCTTGGTGGTGTCCAAGTGAGGGAGGGAGCTGTCTTGCAGTGCGCAGCCAACTTGAAATGGCATCTGTGTCAACAACCTTTGCCCTCGCCAGAGAACAGCGGGCTAAGCTCAAATCGTGGGTGTGGTTAGAGACACCAGAGGGACATTTTCACTGTCCTTTTCAGTGCACCACAGAGGCTTTGAAACATATACCCGACCCGACGTACACACACCTACAACACATATCATCTCTTGTATGTAGCTGCTATCCGTTTGGTGTTTCATATTTCTATCTATTAAACGTGTGTCCGCGGGCCTGTTTTTATGCATTCACATACATGTGTTGGGGATGGAAATGTTTTCACTCCAAATCACAGAGCCGGTTTACTTGGAAAGCAATCAGTGTGGAATTCTGGATAGGAAAAAAAGAAAATGGAGTAAAATTATCTGGTCACTTTTCTTAGGTACAGCTCAATTTTCATTCACACGGTACTATTTTACTTTCCAATCATAATGTGAAATGGAAGAAAATACTTATTTCTGTTTTTTCTAACATATTAAGCCTTTCTTGCTAAATTGTTGTTTATTGCTTGGAATACACATAGCAGAAGAAGGGAGCCGCTAGTGCACCTTCATAATGAGCGCATGGAAGCACTAGTACATTTTATTAACCGACGTCAAACCTGTCCTTTCTGAAAGGACAATCCACCTTAGTTTTTAAAGATTTAAAGAAGCGGTTGGTGGAGTTCTGGGTGTTTCGGAATGAATGGGTGTGTATGTGCGTGGCTGTTCCTGCCTTGATGGATGGATGCTTCTGGTAAAAGGGGGACTTGGCATGCATGTCCACTCACTGCCTAATGGGTTATTGAACAGCAGCAGCAGCAAGCAATGTAATACGTAGCACAGTCTGCATGCATGTGTGTCTGTAGGTGCGTGCTTAATGTGCAGCCAGTATCCACTCAATAATACACAGGCTGTCATAAATCTGCGAGACATACTGGCCTAAACGTTTCCCTCATCAATGGGTATGTATTAAAGAAGAGAGAAAAAGAGGGAGGAGGGAGGGAGGGAGAGAGATAATTTGAAGTAGAGTAAATAACAGTTCCTCTCCATCTTAAAAAAATTAAATGTTTTTCATGTTTCTCCTTGCTCCACTTTCCTTAAATTGCCTAAAATGTCAGTGTTGTCTGATGTCCCTTTACCTCATCAGTAAACTGCCCTTTGGATGCTGTGCAGATATTGACAAACAAGAGGTTTGGCCGTCCCCAGCACATTTCAAAATGACCCAATAAAAAACAAATTTGCTGAATTGCAAGACGCGATTATTGATTTCCAACATTTTAATTCACTTTGAAATGTTAAATAGGCTATATTTAAATAAATGATGAAGCGTGGTTCCCTCTGTGAATGAAAAGAAAGCTGAGTAGGGAACTTTGGGGGAAGGGGGGGGCAGGCAAAATAAGATGGGGGTGTTCATCTGTACACCCAAATCAAAAAAAGATAAGCTTGGCTCGGTATTTTAGATACCAGGTAAAGCATAAGCATATTATAGCATCTGTTTTTGTACATTTGTCATTTTCCAGATTGCCTTCACAAGAACAGAAGGCGGAATTATTCCTGGTCAGAAGTTGTTCTTTTTTTACCATATTGCTACAGATGGTATTTAGTGTTCTTCAGTTTCCAAACCCTGTTATGTACATTAAAGTAAACGCTGTTGGTATCTCACACTACAACACATCTAATTTCACCTGTCGGAGACAAATGCTTAGTTTGGAAAACTTGGCTCTCACAAACATTTATTCAACCCTTTAGATGAGCTTTGGTCGTATAATGATCACTTGAGTAATTTGGTGATGTAGTGCTTGATTGACTGCAGTATTGATTTGCAGCTTGACTGACTTGCTCTCACGCTGATTGATCTTTGCCTTGCAGGAGGAGCCGTTCGTAATGGTGTCCGAGAATGTTCTGGGAAAGCCCAAAAAGTACCAGGGCTACTCCATTGACGTCCTGGACGCTCTGTCCAACTACCTCGGCTTTAAGTATGAGATCTACGTCGCGCCAGACCACAAATACGGCAGCTTGCAGCCTGATGGTCAGTGGAACGGACTGATGGGTGAATTGGTCTTTAAGGTGAGGAGAAAAAAAAAAACACCGGCATGAACCAACACACACAATAAGATTGAACTTTGTAGAACACTGGCATAGGATGAATAATTGAAGATTTAGCCTGCGGAGAGGATACCTTATGTAAATGGGAGTTATAGTTGCTTATTCATGCACAGTCACTATAAGAATACACAAGGAGAAGAAGCAAGCAGACACATGTCATCAGCATCACTTATGCCAAATAGCAGTATAGCCTCCTGCAGGTGGAGTCTGCACAGTCCCTTCATAACAGTCCCACCAGAAATCCTGTCACTTCAACGGCAAACATTGCATTTGATTACCGCAGGGCTGACTTAAACTTCTTCAAATTGGAATGAGAAATTCAGACACTCAGAGATGTCAAATTGGTTAAAAAAAAATACTTGATTTGACTCGCTTCAGGAGTCTTCAAGTGTTTGAGGCATGAATTCTGGCAGAGACCCGAACCGTTTCAATGAGAAGTGGAAAAGTGGCCATGGCGTTTCTCTAGATCAAGTGAAGCTATAAATGTGGTGATGCCACGACAATGTAGAGGTTTACAGTTCGATTGGCATGATAATCACATTATAGCCACCATAGCAAACTGGTTACTCGAGGTAGCCCACCGTTGCTGTTCCATTAGCAGATCAATCTTGTGTTCTGGCAATTGTTATGATAAAATTCCCCTTTGTCTGTCCGTGCTTTCATGTTTTCTAGTATCCCTTGGCAATCCGCAGGCTAGTCAATATTTGAATCATTTCCCAAAATACTGAATGTGTTTATTATAATCCACAAGTTCATCTTGACGGTGTCCCCCAGAAAAAAAGTAAGCAGTAGAGGAAGGACTGAAAGACAAAGGACCTTTGCAAATGTGTCAATTCTAAGTGGGGAAAAATTCAGATTTTCATCTTTAATACACCATGAATCAATTACATTTAGGATCAATATCTCTCTGAAGATCTCATCTTCATCTGCAAGATTGTTTTCACAAGTGCTCATTCCCTATGTTCTGCTGCAGAAAAGATGAGGCTTGTTTTATTCTGCTTCAGAAACAAATGCTAAGCAAACACACATGAACCCCTCTGCATGTACTGAATTGCTAATGGTTCTTCAGATGTTTACTTTTGCTCTTGGCCCTTAGTTCCTTAAAACATTCATTGAGTGTTGTCATGTGGCGGCCCGCCAACAATAACTGGAGCTCACCTTAGAGTCACGCAAATCTTCTTACACCCAAAATCAGAATCCAATCAAAACAGTAATGACAACAAAGGGGGTATTTTCTTCTTTTAAAACCTGAACTTATATTATCAAGGTTCCTTTATTATTTTGTTTGTGTCAGTATATGAATATTTAACAGTGGTAAGCCAACCACAGTTCTCAAGCGCTTCACAGTAAACCATTAAAACGTCAGGCAAAAGAAAACGAAATGTACAAGACAATACACAAGAATAAAAGTTGCAGTGCAGTTTATGAAACTGTCATCCTTTAATCTGGTTTAATTAAAGGCAGCAGCAAACAGAGTGAGTCTGCAATCCTAATTTGAAGCAGCTGAGAGTCTCAACAAAGTCACAGCAGATCAAAAATGTATTTTGGCCGCAAACCATTCAGTGCTTTATAAACCAACAGCAGGATTTTGAAGTAAGTGCTTTGTTGGACAAGAAGCCAGTGTAAAGACCCTGACTGGCATGATGTGATCCACTTTCTTGATCTTAGTGAGGACTCAAGCAGCAGCGCTCTGAATCAGCTGCAGTCTGCATCTGAATAACCTTTTTACATTAGTCCAGTCTACTGAAATCCAGTTGACACATAAGTCTCTGAATCTTTGATACTTTTCACAGGTGATAATAGGAATTTGTAATTGTTGTATTCATATGGCTGTTCAGATTGAGGTCTGAATCCATGGCCCCAAAAACAACTACTTCATCTTTCTTTACTTTCCCCATGAACTATGGGTTCTCCTTCCATTGACAATAGAACAGAAAATGCAATGTAAGTCGCTTTGGATAAAAGTGTGAGCTTAAATGTTATGAATTATACCAGATAATTATTACCGACTGACCGCTGCAATCACGACGGCGATTCATCTCTATTCACAAACACACACTCATACGTGCCTATTTGATGCATATCGATGTGTTGTCTCAGCAAACAAGCATGTTGCAGGCCTTCTTTTTATATTCTTATGACATAGTTTAAGCGACATTTAAGGATTTTATCTCACTCAACTGTGAATTTTGAAGACTTCCTTTTTTTGGGGGCCGACAGTGTATTAAAATGCTTGTTTGTTGAGTCTGTGATTTGGTTTTGCTTTTGCTGCAGTGCTGAGGTTTCGCCTACAAAATCCCCTGTTGCACGCAGATGTTTGTAGCAAATCAAAATTTCACAAAATATCTGTAATATTAGCCACTAATGGCGCACATCTGCACCCTCACAACAGTCGAAAGCAGACTTAAAGATACTGTATAGGACATTGGGAGCACTTGTATTGCCTCTCAACTGCTCTCAGCACGGCAGCCAACGAGGACGAAACAAGCCATCACTCCCCATCTGTCAAATATCCAAGTTTGGTTAGTGCTCCTCTCAGTGTCTGACCATGAAGTTCATTTAGGATGTGTATTCGATGCAACGGACAAAGTGGACATAGCGTAACATGTGCAATATTCCACAGTCACATGTGATGACACGTCAAAAAGACAGAGCCGCTGTTCATCTGCTCTGCACAACTTAAACAAATTTCATTGTTAGTGACATTAATTAGCCAGTCAACTATTTTCTTTTCCTCAACTAAACTAGACTTAAACAGCACGCATGTGCACGCTGTCACTGACGCGCCGGACAGACACATGGAGGGTCATAGTCTAAAGAGCACTGACCAAATTACAGTGTTTTAGGCCATTGGTGTTGCAGGGTGGTGGTTTTGCCTTCCCTATGATGGTGTTGGTCGGGACAGCGCTATCAGCTGTAATTGTGTGCAGGTTAGGGGGATGGAGGGGGAGGGGGCACAAACATTTACAGACATGCGCTAAAAGCACCAGAGGCCACCAAACACGGAGCGGGAGCTTCATTTTCTGCTTCGATAGATTTATCTTAACACTGCAAATAGTTATTTATCTTGAACATACTATAAAGATTATTTTAAGCATCGATAAGGAAAAAAGTATTTTCTTTCCTAATTTACAAAAGCGTCAACATGGTCATTACCCTGTTCACATTTGGCATTTTTGTAAAACTTTCATAACATTTCCCTTCAATACCTAAATATAATAATTTTTTCTGTTACACAAAAACATTCGAGAGTCAAGTTTTGGTCAAGGGCAGCGACTGAATAAACGTAGTGGACCGAGTTCAGAGACTGTATTACTGCTTAATCTCCTGTCAGTGCCTGTCAGTAGGAACTTTTTAGAAAAACAGCTCAGATGATTAATAGTGAACAGTGAAAGGTCTTTTCACTTACTGCATGCAAAACAGAACTTGGAGCACTTGATCCATCACTGGGTACAGAAGTCCTCATTTTTCAAAGATTGTTTTCTCTTGTTCCCTTCCGCCTCCTGCAGCGAGCCGACGTGGGACTTTCTGCCCTGACCATCACGTCCGAGCGAGAGAGCGCGGTGGACTTCACCACGCGCTACATGGATTATTCCGTGGGGGTTCTGCTGCGCAAGGCTGAACGCACTGTCGACATGTTTGCCTGCCTGGCGCCCTTCGACCTGTCCCTGTGGGCCTGCATTGCGGGCACCGTGCTCCTGGTTGGCATCCTGGTGTACCTGCTCAACTGGCTCAACCCACCCCGGCTCCCCATGGGCCCCGTGTCCTCCACCACGCTGTACAATTCCATGTGGTTCGTGTATGGCTCCTTTGTACAACAAGGTAAGGAAACGCGAGATTAAATGACTGACATTGAATGTTCATGCTGCAATTGGAAAACACGACAGTAGTTTAGGAAAAAGAGTTTTTTTTTTTTACATCACCATTATGACTTCATAACTTTAAGGGGATTTGCAGAACTGTTTCATTTGGAAACGTATTCGTTTGTAGCATTTTAATGGAGTAAATTGAGCCCTACAACCCAGAGGTATACAGAATTATTTGCATATTACAGTTTATGAGTCCAGCTGGTAAATAGAAGGTACAGCAGTGTTGTTGTTTCATATGTTGCCGTGGGGATATGAACTTTGCCAACAAACCAGGGGTCTGTTGGCAAAGGGGTCCAGGGGTCTGTTGGTTATGTGCAGGGGTCTGTCTCAAAGGTAAAATGATATGGAGATAATGGGAAGGAGGGAAAACAACACAATAGAACACAAATGTCTTATTGCTAAGGCAATGTGATGCCACAAATCTGATTATACCTTTCCTTTGGGTGTCATAAGTGTGGATTGACGTTTCTCTTGTTTGAACACAATAGTGAAATGAGGACTAAAGGGAGGAGGGGGTTTGTTCCGCGTGGATTAACCAGGGTAGAATGACCTCACCCTGGTTTTCCACCAAAAGATTTTCCAGAATCCGCCGGGCCGATCTCAGGTGTGAGATCAGACAATTGACACAGAGGGAAGGATTTAAATCCCTGTGGGAATGGCGCCATGACCAGGAGAGGAAAGGTCGATAGGAGCAGGGGGGGAAATAGGCTCACGTAAAGGGGTCTGTTTTCCAAGCGGTTTGTGAGTTTTGTAGAGAATCTTTGTTGGCTACGGCGGTGCGACTAAATATGTTCTTATTCGTTGGCTCGTTTTGTACGTCCCACATGTGCGGTTTGCAGCGCGATAAAGAAATAACTGGAAGAACAAGTTATTGTCCACTCCGACTATCACGCTCCCACAGCACGCAGATCATTTTTATTATTAGCATTTTATTTTGCGAAACTTAGCCGTATGTTTTTTTTTAAGTTCCTTGTCAAATTTTTTCGGCCCAGAATAAGCAACTGATGAGTATTTCACCATTGAGTAAATAATCCGGCATCTTGTGCTGCAGCTAATGGTGGTAATAATGATGATGATGATGCATGCTAATTGCTGTTTAAATTCACAATCATTTCTCTTTTTCAATGTAATTAACATTTTAGTCATGCCATTTTTAGAGAGTAGAGGAAGAGAGAGAGAGAGACAACTGTACCCGTCCATTGTGCGTCTCTCTATATTCAATGTATCTTAGCTGTGTGGTTCTGTTAGAGGGAATGTGGTGTTCAGTGTGTCTTCGTGTCTGGCATCAGGGGCTTCACGTCCATGTGAGGAAAGCGTGGTGCTTCGGCTACAGGTAATTCATTTCTGATCTGGCAAGCCAGAAATATCTCTAAGAATATTAACTGAGCATGAACACAGTACTGCTGCAGGGATAAGTGGGCTGACCTTCACCTGTCTACAAGTCACCAGGAATGTGCTTTGCTTAAATCACGGGAACCTGCTGGTAAAGATCTCCATTTAACGTTAAGTAATTCCAGTTATTGAATGACGGAACCAGATCAGACTAATAAAGGTAGGGGTCATTTAAACAGAGAGAGTTTATAAAGTCAGTAGAATACAAAGCGTCTTCTGCATTACAGTAGAAGAGCTGCAGTACTGCAGACAAAAGCTTCCACAAGCTGAGCAGAAGTGCTGATAAAGAAGTACTTACTTTATTCTGTGTTTTGAATGATTGTAAACCAGCAGGAACAAAAGGTGGTTGAAAGCAACAAAAAAAGAAAATGGTTTGTGCTTTGGACACGTTCATAAGTGGCATGGAATCAAAGTGTTATTCATCGTCAAAGATGATAATGCTCTTCCAATTACACCCCGTGAGGTGGATTAGACACAATTATTCACGCATATGGGAGACAGAATAAAACTATTAATCCATTTGACTGTTGGTTACAGTCATTCAGAGAATTCTATGGAATAGTCCAACTAAATTCAATAATCAGGCAATTCAATTTTGTATCCATTTTATTAAACGCCAACCTCAAAATGATACAAAGAAACACAACAGAAAGCCACCTTTAGGGAGATGGAAAAAAGCAGCAGAAACAGTGGAAAGAAAACCTCTGGCTGTAGAGAGAGGCGTCCGCACACATTTTATTAAAAAAATAGTGTCTGAGGTGCCCCCAGGTGTCTTTTACGCAGTGTGATCCACATCCACGGCACTCTTCATGTGTGTCTTTCATTTTTGGTGCACGGCTGCACTCTGAGAGAGACCAGAAAGCTCAAGCGGCCTAAGTTGTCAAATGGACGGTGAACTCTGCTGTAATTGAAACGTGAAGGCGGGCGACAGACGCTGGCAGTCATATCTGCTGACGTGTAACCAGGAGGGACAGAGCGACTGTTATGCAAGCTGGACTTGTTGATGAGTGAGAAAAGCCGCGAGAGTCCCATCTCCTGTCCCACTGCCTCCCCGTCTCCCACCATCCGTCCTGCCGTCCCTTCACTTCCTCTCGCCGCTGCTCTTGACTCCAAAGTCGCGTCGGCGGCATTTGGGCCAAAGTGGAAAAGTCAAAAGCAAAACTCTGGTGTCACACTGAATATTTATTCGTCTTTCGCAAATCCTTCCCAGACTGTGTCTGTGTCCTGATTGCTGGTGTTCTCCTCTAATTACTGTCCCAAGCAGTGGGGGAGAAGAAAGTCGCTGCGGCGAAGCAGACTGTGTCTTTGTGCGCGTGTGCAGCGCGTGTGCTGCTGTCTCTCAATTAGAGCCGACTTTGTGGAAAATGCTAACGCTGTCACACACAGACGCACACTGTGAATGAGTTGTTTTCACTGTATGAAATACGCTGCATAGACACACAAACACATCAGATTCATGGCCACAGGCCATAATCAACACTTTCATCTTTCCATCTGCTGCTCCAAATATTTCTTCTTTTTTTAAATTTTTTTTATTATTCTCCTCACACTTTGAGCCTCTTTTTTTTCCCCAACCGGCCCCTGCTGCGCTCATATCTCGCTGTATGAGTGAGTTTGACTGTGTGTGTGTGTGTGTGTGTGAGAGACAGAGTGTGTGTTCTTTTCACAGCCCTGTTGTGCCACCTAATAGAAATAAAAAACCAATTGTCTCTCTGTTTCCTCCCTCCGTCCTTTTTGTCTTTCATCCCTCAGTTCTCTCCGTTCTTCAGCGCTGTTGACTTACTGCTGAGTTTTCTCAATGTGAGTCGTGTTAGCATTCAGCACTCCCCATTTCCTCCCCTCCTCCTCCCCCACTCTCTCTCCCTCACTCCTCCACGTGTGTCCCCCTCCATCATTATCTCTGCTTCTGCTGTGCCGTGCTGCTGGGAACCCAACGTTATCATCATTTTCCCTGCTCTTTTCCTCGCTCTCTTCCTCTCCTTCTGCCTCCCTCTAATCCATTATCCCTCTCTTAACGACGGTGTTGTGCCGATGTGAAGTGGACCCAACTTTAGGCCGAAAATCCCTCCTGACTGCACCACCCGCCATCTCTCCGTCCATCCTCCCCCTTTTCTTCCTCCGGCCCCTCTCACTCTCTTTCTGGCTACAGAGATATGCCACTGTGAAAAGAAAACGTCTCTCAGCACTTCCATTAAAGTCTTTCTCTCGCTCTTTCTTCCGCTATCTGCTCTCTGGCTTTTGTCACATTCGCTTCCTTTTTCCCCTCCTGATCTCGTTTGTGCGTCCTGTGCACGGCTTTGTTACTCTCTTGCTACTCACTTGTTGTGTGGAAGTCCAGCTGTTATTCATTCAGCCCGTGTAACCTTTCTCACACACACACACACACACACACACACACACACACACACACACACACCTGTTCATCCGCTCACCTTAACCCCATCCTCCTGCAGCGGGGAAAAGGATGAATGTATCAGGGCAAAGTTTTTCTTCGATTTACTTATTTATTTACTGAGAATTTTAGAATTTCTTGAGATGAATTATTTGGTTTAAACAACCTAGAAATAAGTTATTTCATTTAATGGGATCAAATGTATTTATTCACCAGTGTGCCCAGTTGAGCCCCTCGACAGGGCAGCTGATTGACATGAATAATAATTCCTTCACTGAAAAAGGGCTGTTGTAAGTAAAGTCATATTGGTAGATACTTTAAGGCTCCGAATACTTCCTCCACTATATGCCACACATTTAGAACGTACAACAAACTGATAATCGGGTCTGTACAGTAAGAGGTCCGTTAACTCTTTGTATTTTCTATTGACGTCAACTGGACTTACCCTCCTTGCTTTGGCTGCTGCCACCAGCTAAATGAGATTTCCTTATACATGTGGTGTCGTAATGTATGTGTTGTCTCTCTCCTGCTGTTATCTCTCTAACTGACTTCATCCTTTTGTTCTCACTCTCTCTACTGGCTGTTAAATGTTTAATCCTGATAGTTAAGTTGCCAGGACAAAATGTCTCCTGCTGTTCTGCTACAGTAAATGTCACTTTGGGCTCTGAGCCGCAGAGAGAGGGACGGGGACACGGGGACATGGAGACACGCTGCAAACTTGCTCAGTAAAAAGAATGTTTTGATTTAAAATCCATCAAGCCTCAGATTTCTGTGATGTTGGGAGAATCTCCCATGAAATATATTCCTGCCACAGCCGCTCTGAAGCACACTGCAATGGGCGAGCCTTGTTCCACCCGGATTCTTTTAGTAGAGTCCGAGAAGATGTAGCTAGCAAGCAGGGACAGTAATGAGGAGGGTGGTTTGATTGTAATACAAGCATATTTATTTTGGGCTCTCTGTTATTATCTGCCTCAGATAAACAGAAGCAGAGAATTCCATTTATCCAGCAGCGAACGCGCTGTAAAGGTCAGGCTTTGAGCAGAATGCAGCTGGAATAAACAATGGATCTAATTGCTTCTTGATGGATGTTTTTGCACAGTAACTTTTCCCAGAATTGTAATTATTGTTAAATTGTTTCGGGCATCTAATGTAATCTATAGAGACTTGCG